CCAGAATATATAAAGAACTGAAAGAAATTAGACCTCCTAATAAAAGATCAATCAAAAATAAGCAACTATTGCGAAGATAACAATGTGCAACATAAAAATCATTGCTAATTTTCTACTATCTTATTTTGAAATTCTGTATCATTCTTCTTTTTTCTTTAAAATACAAAAGAAAGCTGGTTGTAGTGGCATAGCCTGTAATCTCAGCACTTGGGAGGTTGAAGTAGGAGGATCAATGTGAGTTTGAGACCACCCTGGGCCACAAAGTGAGGTTAATTTAGCCTGAACTGCATAGTGAGACCCTGTCTCCAAAAAAAAAAAAAAAAAAAAAAAAAAAGTCAGAAACGTAAAATAGAAAAGAAATTTCAAAAATAGGCAACTAAAATAAACATACACTTTGCAGAAGAAAAAGTACATATGGCCAAACAATACAGAAAAACACTAAACAACATCTCTGGCCATTACAGAAATGAGATTTCTCATGAGAAATTATAGAAATCTCACTTCAGAAAAAAAGGTTATCCTCAAGAAACCAAATAATAGCAAATGCTGGTAAGGTTGTGGAGAAAAAGGAACATTTCTGCACTGTTGGTGGGAATGTAAACTAGTACAGCCATTATAAAAACTAGTATGAAGATTCCTCAAAAAACTAAGACTAAGGCTGGGGATTTGGCTCAGAGGCATAAGAGCCTTCCTGGCAAGTGCAAGATCCTTTGTTTGATTCCTCGTACAAAACAAACAAAAAACCCTAAAACTAGAAATTCATTTGACCTGGTTATTTTCCCTCTAGGTATCTTCCCAAAAGAGTTAATGGTATCATAGTACAGTGATTTTGCATATCCATGTTTGCAGCAGTACAATTAATACTAACTAAAAATATTCATCACCTGATGAATGGATCCAGGTGAATGGATTACATATAAGAATATTCAATATTTATACACAATGGAGTAATACTCTTCCATAAAGAAGGATAAATTTGAGTCATTTGCAGAAAAATGGATGCACATTGAGACCATATCGTTAAGTGAAATAGATTAGACACATGGATTTTAGTATAACATATTTTCTCTTGCATAAGAAACTGAAAGTATAGATAAATTAATGAGCACAATTAAAAAACAGATAATAGGAAACAGGAAGATAGATCTTTTGCAAAGGATAAGAGGATCAGGTGGTGGGAGGGGACAGGGAAGGGAAGAAGAAAAAAAGGAAATTAATGTGTGTTTTAGGGGTTTTGTTTTGTTTTTTTTTTGCAACAGGGTCTCCACAGTTCAGGTTGGCCTTGAGCTCACTTTGTGGCCCAGGCTGGTCTCGAACTCGCAAAGATCCTCTCAGCCCCCTCAGTGCTGGGACTACAGGTGTGCACCACCAGGCCCCGCCTTAAAATGTGTTATGCAGGGGGCTGGAGAGATGGCTCAGTGGTCTAAAGCACCTACTTGAAACAAGCTTGGCAATGCACAGGGACCGCGGTTCAATCCCCCAGCACCACATGCCAGCCAGCCCCGCCCCCTGG